GCTCTCTCTCTCTCTCTCTCTCTCTCTCTCTCTCTCTCTCTCTCTCTCTCTCTCTCTCGCGTCTCCAAGCCGGGATTCTATTTGTGTGTGTGTTCGGGTGCCCTTGTCGTGTGTGTGCGCATGTTGGTGTTCATAAACGTTGACGTGCGCGCACAGGAAGGCCAGATCGGTAAAGCCGTGTCCTACGCTGTACACATTCCCCCATAGCACACCAGCATAAAGTCGGCGGCAAGCTCGTCCACCACGACGACGACGACGTTCCCTTCAACCCCTAGCGCTGAGTGTGGTCTTTCAATTGCTGACTCGCAGCTTCCTATTCCTATACGAGCTACCTTTGTTGCCACTATGCGCTGCTTCCTGCCTGAGCAGCATAGCATAGCCGGTGGCAACAATCCTTCAGGATGTGCTCTGTTCCTCTGACCTTAACCGTCAGGCCGTGTTTATCCGCCTGTCTTTTCCACCCTACGGTAGTTTTGCTCCGTAAGAGCATAACTCACGCTAGTACTTTAACGAACGCATCTGACTGCAATTACAGCGAGTTCTGGATGCATTTGACAGTGATCGCTATAAGATCTCACTCGAAAGTCGTACCGTGACGTGAGTATGCCCTGCCTTTATCCCTTTTTTTGCTCCGTATGGGTATAACTCACACTACCACTTTAAAAAGAAGAATAGAATGCATCGAACTGCAATTACGGCCAGTTCTGGATGGATGCATCTGACAGTGACTGCCTCCAAATCTCACTCGAAAAGAGTTGGGATAATTGGTAGAAAGCCCCCACGCCAAAACCTTTTCGGGTTTGGCCGCCCAAAGTTCGGCCGTTTGGTACTACCGGCCCAAATATCTTCAGCTTGGGTGAAAGGCGCCTTCGCGCCGTGGCCACTGGCCACAGCTCCCTTGGTCTGTTTTTACCGCTTCATGAATTTGGTGCTGTTTTTGGGCCAGATTCGTGAACCCGTAGGGCCCTTCTTTTTCAAAATAAGGTACATGGGCCTGGTTTTATACTCCAGTGGTGGTACCACCCTCGGCCTCTTTTAAATCAAAATGAATCTGGGGCTGTTATGAGCCAGATTCATGACAATTATCCCAAAAAAGTTCTGCCCTGATCATCGGGGTGATGTGAGTATGCCCTGTCTTTTCCGATCGGTGTTTTTTTTTATCAGTACAAGTGGAACCCAATTATCAGTACAAGTGGAACCCAACACAGCAACACTCGCTGATGGCGCCTCATTTTTCTTTCATGTCTCTCTCTCTCTCTCTCTCTCTCTCTCTCTCTCTCTCTCTCTCTCTCTCTCTCTCTCTCTGTGTTTCTTCCCATGTTGTGCTTAGCGTGCTTGTCGTCTGCTCCGCCTATTTCTCTCTCTCTCTCTCTCTCTCTCTCTCTCTCTCTCTCTCTCTCTCTCT